TAAACCTGAGAGCCTGGAGATTCGAAAGTTGTCAAGAGTCTGGTTTACATTCAGGTTTACATCCATAACACTGTTGTTGTACATGTGCTGACAGATGAGAAAAGGAAAATATTTGCACTCCCAAATGTGCAAAGAACAGAAGAAGCTGAGTAAAGGTGAATGTTGACTGTACCTTTCTTTTCAATGTTTTTTTCTGAGTCGAAATAGAATGACCGTAGAGAGGCGATGTATAGTAACATGTGAGTTTATATATGGACATATATAGGAATGCTAATATAGATTTGACAAGCATGTTGTGTGTGGCTTGCTTTTTTTTTTCTTTTTTCTTACCTGCTATTTGAAATAGCTCAGCACAACCCCATAATTTGGTGGCTGATAGACCATGTGGAAAATTTATCTTTTATATTTACTGTTGGGCCTTCTGGCAAATGAAAAACAATTGGTACCATGTCCATTTATTGAAAATCTAGACTCTTCAGCCCCTCTACCTGTGATCCTTCTCTCAGGAAGCTGAGCCCCTTCACAGGAGAGATCAGTTTAAAGACGGAAAAGAGCATGCATGTGTTAGTCTTTATTTTTGTTTTTGTTTCGGGGTTACACATAGCAATGCTCAGGAGTTACTCCTGGCTCTGCACTCAGGAATTACTCCTGGGGTGCTCTGTGGGGAGCAGCATGCAAGGCAAGTGCCCTCCCCACTATGCTCTCTGGCCCCATGTGTGTGTCTTAACTAGTCGATCGATTATATTAGACTCTGTCTAGCCTAGAATCTTCAGGGAGGTTGGGTGTGCCCTATAGGCTGAGACTGAAACAGGCATGCAGGTGAGGTCATTCACTGGGTACTAATACTTATAGACCTTGCAGGGGTGCCTCTGCTAGATCCTTCCTGCCTCAGTGCACTGGCTGTGTAGCTCCTCAGTAAATCCAGTGCCAGCGAGGTAAGGACAGCAAGCTTTGTCTTGGCATATGTCCTACCATGGACTAGGTAGTTTGCGTAAGGTTTGTTTTTTCGGGGGGAGGGCATGTGAAAGTGTGGGGTGAAGAAGTTCAGCCACACCCAGCTGTGTTCAAGTGTTTCTCCTGACTTTGTCTCAGGGATAATTCCTGGTGGGACTGAGGTGACTGTATGTGGTGCTGGGGATAGAACTAGGGTCAGTGGCATGCCAGGCAAGTGCCTGGACCCCTAGATCATCTCTTAATGTTTTAGTAAACTTTGAATTTGAACCAAAAAAAGGAAATGTTGTTTGGAGGAGGTCTGGATAGCAGCAGAAGCCTTAGATAACCACCTTGAGCCCAGATGGGTAGCATTACAGCACTGTAGCACTGTCCTTCCAGTGTTCATCAATTTATTTGGGCGGGCACCCGTAACGTCTCCATTGTGAGACTTCTTGTTACTGTTTTTGACATATTGAATACGCCACGGGGAGCTTGCCAGGCTCTACCATGCGGACGGGATACTGTTGGTAGCTTGCTGGGCTCTCCAGGAGGGATGGAGGAATCAAACCCAGGTTTGCCATGTACAAGGCAAACGCCCTACCCGCTGTGCTGTCGATCCCAGAAGGGTAAAGATGGGAAACTGAGGGGGCCTTGGGACAGCAGGAACTTGATTTTTTACTTTATGGTCTCAATATTAATAGATCTGTGATTCCAATTTTCTTGGTGTTTTTTTTGTGTGTGTGTGTGGGTGGGGTTTTTTTTTGTTGTTTTTTTGTTTTTTGTCTTTTTTTTTTTTTTGCTAACACCCACCTGGTGATGCACAGGGGTTTCTCCTGGCTTTGTATTCAGGAATTATTCCTGGCAGTGCTTGGGGGGGGGCCATATGGGATGCTGGGAATCGAACCCGGGTCGGCTGCATGTGAGACAGACACGTACTATTGCTCCAGTCCTCTTGTTTCTTTTGACCTTCAGGTCACATTGGCGGTGCTCAGGCTTACTCCTGGTAGTGCTCAGGGACCATTCCAGTGCCGGAGATTGAGCTCAGGTTGTCTGTGTGCAGGGTCATACCTCTCTCTTGCCCTATGATTCTTTCTTTCAAAACCTCAATTTCTGGGAGGAAAAAAATTGGATTGGTCTTTTGGGGCCATGTGCCACCCTGTCTGTCTCCTAATCTGGAGGGCTGGCATGTGTTACAGGCAGGGCCCCTAGGAGCCTTCTCCCAGGGGAAGAAGCATCCCTGAAACTTGAGTGTCACTCACAGTCCAGAAAAGATCAACTTCTTGGCTCGAAATCATGGCAGGATTGGGAATTGTTCCATTTTTAGACTCGGGGAGGAAGAGCCTTGTTCTCCAGGAATCCTGACGATCCTCCAGCTCTTTTCCTCATGGGTGAGCAGGATTCCCTGGGGTCTAGGAGGTGTGTGCCCCCCATCTACACTCCACTGAGGTGAACCTGATTCTGGTGCAGGACTGCCAAGGAGTGGGAGTATTCTGAGCTTGACAGCCTCCAGGTATTCATGACATGGGGCTTATTTTCTGCTTCCTATTGTGAGTTAGAGTCAAAGACAGGGACATTTCTGTGGGTTCTCATTGGCACTTGCTGCATGCCCTGAAAATAGTAGAAATTGTGTGCTGGGTTGGGGCCTCTCAGATGTAGCTCTCCTCGTTCCCTATGTGGTATGGAGCAAACCTGCGGGCTTTCTGCATTCTTCTTAGTCTCACAGACAACAAATATGTTGGGTTTGCAGTTAAACTTCAGAGGACTTTAGGTCTCAGTTGTTTTTGAAATCTGAAGACTTTGCTTCCTCGCTTGGATGGCCCATGCTGATGAAGACTTGACTGATGCTGTCAGGCTTGTTATATATATAAAGAACAAAACCAGTATGGCCGTGTGCCAGGTGCTTTCACTCGCTGGTGACATAACTGATATGTGGAGGGTCAGACCGACCCCTTGGCCAGAGGCTTTGAGGGCAACACAAGCATCTTGTATACTAGTTTTACAATGGATCCAAACCCCAAAGGAGCAATTATGTGGCAGCAGAAAGCCCCCTTAACAAAGCCTGACTATTTTATCTTCTCAAGCAATTTGAGCTTTCATCTCTCCAGCCCATTGTGGAGCTTCATAAACTGATAGCCGATCTCAGGTCACTAGACATGGGTATATTTTCCCTTTTGAGAAACTGGTGGGTGTGGATATGTGCAGATTGTGTATGAAAAGGCACATTGCTGTCAAGCTTGAACTTTGTTACACATGCACCACCTCAAATCTCACCCCAGTAGCCTATGACGAGGACTACTTTCTTTTCCGGAACCATTTGAGAGAACGATGTCCCTAGAGACTGGACACTGGGTGTATCACTCCCCAGTACTTCATTCTTTCTCTTCTCTAACAAAATGTTTCTCTTTATTGAATATCAGTGAATTTCAGATCTTTGGACTAATGGATATTAGTTAATTCAAAATGTTGGCAGTCTGCTGTTACTCTTTTTGGGTGGGGGTTCCACACCCTCCATGCACAGGAATCCCTCCTGGTGGGCTCAGGGGAACACATGGGATGCCAGGGATAAAACTTGGATTGGCTCTGTGCAAGGCCAGCACCCAACCCACTGTACTATTCTCTCCATTGTGTCTTTTTTAGTTTCTCTTGTTGTTTTGGCCACCTCCAGCAGTGCTCAGGACTTAACTCCCCGTACTGTGCTTAAGGATCACTCCTAGCAATACTCAGGGGATCATATGGGGTGCTGAGGATCAGATCCAGGTTGGCCACATGCAAGGCAAGTGACGTACCCACTTTACTACTGCTCCAATCCCTGTTACTTTATCTTAGTGTGAAATCTTAGTTCCAGATCGGACTGGTTGGGGCTCTTTAAAGTGGACTCCTATTTCCTTTTGCCATATCCCCATACTCCTGGAACTCTCCCTTGTTTTGGTCATGCTAAGAGATTCCTGATACTCTCTCTGCCTGGCTTTGACATCAGTCATCTCTGCTCCAAGATTCATTTATCTTCCTGGGGCTCCTGGCTTTTAGAGTGGTGATTAAGGTTTGTGTGGGCACACACATGTATACACTGACATTTGCTCTTTTTATCTGTATTTAGTCAGAGTGGTTTCACGCCTGTAACTCCCCTTGTGCTTTATTATAATTTTTTCCTTTTCATATTTCTCATACTCTGGCACTGAGAAATCTGTCTTCTGAGATTCTTAGGTTATCTCCATTGCAACCCCTGGGCAAAACTTTCTCTGTCGGCTCTGTCCCCTATAGCAATGCCACCAACACTCCCACACGTGCTCTTCCTGCCTTTCTCAGTCCCAGCAAAGGCTCCGTTACTTAGAAAAGGTTAAAGAGGGACTGGAGAGATAGCACAGCGGGTAGGGTATTTGCCTTGCACGCGGCCGACCCGGGTTCGACTCCCAGCGTCCCATATGGTCCCCTGAACACCGCCAGGAGTAACCCCTGTGCATTGCCAGGTGTGACCCAAAAAGAAAAAAAAAAAGAAAGATAAAAAAAGAAAAGGGTAAAGAAAATCACTTTATATTTGTTTACTAAAGTACAAAAATGTTTTGGCATTTTCAAGGTAATTTGATAAGCTAAACAGCGTTTCAACATACTTTCTCATGCTATAAGACTTTTGCAAATGCCACTTCCATTTTCTTTGCCTTTGGCTTTTGTGCTCATTGCCCATGTTCATAATTTTTATTGCTGTTGTTTGTTTTAGCATAGCCATCACTCTTGAATCTGAGAGAAACAGTCCATTGTTATCTTTTTTTACTGTTGCAAGGGAGCTGTTAAAGCTGCGTTCACTCATGCAGGTCTCTGGACAGCTGCTTTACCAGAAAGCTGGATGGACACTAGGTCTCTGGGAGCCGGGCTGTCCTGGTCAGGGTGTACCTGTCACCTGACTGTGTCTCTAGTGGCACACAGTGAGTGTCCAGAAATGTGGACTGGATATGTGTAGCGGTGGCCTCTTTGATGAATAGTGAATCGTAGACTGCTCCGCAGTGATAAAGAGCCCCTGCCTTGTGGCTTTGACCTATTTTATCCCTAAGTGTTCTTTTCTTTTTCCATAGAAAGTGGTCTTCTGTTCTGTGAAGGAAGCATTGGAGGTGGACTGGAGCAGTGAGAGAGCCAAGGCGGCGCTGAAACGCACTGCGTCTGACTACTTCCTCCTTCAAGGTCAGTGCTCTGTCTGTAATCGAGTCGTCCAAGGGGGTCTTGATGTGTGCCTACAGTTGGGAGGTGGGTTCCCCCAGAGTTGATTCTCAGCAGTGAATAGAGAACAGCCAGAGTGAATGAAATAGGGCCTGTGTGTTTTTGTTTTTGTTTTTTTTTTTTTTTGGTTTTTCCCTTTCCTCATTGCTGGAGTGAAACCTAGGACTCTTACATGTTAGGCAAGTGTTCTGATGCTGAGCCATATCCCTAGCTGAATCTGAGGTTTCTTTCTAGTGATTTTTTTTTTGCTTAAAAAAATAAACACAAACACTTAAGTACACTAAGATGCCAGAGTACTTCCTTGGCTTCAGAACCAGCTTCCTGCTCCTGAAAGGTCCCTGTGACGTTCACAGCCCTTGCTGGTTCTCAGAGGGCTGCTGACTAAGTAGTGTTTGCATTCTAAGTGTTCTTGTGTCTGGCATTTAAAAAATTTTTGTTTTTGCTTTTTGCGCCATACCCCACAGTGCTTCAGGCTTACTCCTGGCTCTGCACTCAGGGATCACTGCTGGCAGAGCTGGGAGACCAGTGGTGGGAGCGAACCCAGCTATCGTGTGCAGGGCAGACACCTTCCCTGCTGTATCATCTTTCCAGCCCCACACTTTATAGAGTATATAGGTATATTTTTTAATTGCTCATGAGGTTTCGGTAAAGTGGTTCAATGAATTGTATTCCTCAGCTGTGCAAGCTTCTGGGTTTAGTCCCCAGCGCTGCTAAACAAAAAACAAAAAATCAATCTTTCTTGGCGCATATGCTGCCCGAGCCCATGTGCTGCTTGCACCCATGTGGCCGGGCACATGTGGTGCCCTAGCACATGTCGCCCGCATCTCCCCTCTTGAGATGTGTACTTTCATGCTTTCGTGTCTAATGCTAGGATGTGTGTAGGGGCTCTTTCTACCCTTGGAGAAGCCTGTGTTCTCTCTTGAGTACGTTACTCTCTCTCTCTCTCCCTCCATACCTAAAAATCCTCCAAATAAAATCTATTTACTTAAAAAAAAAAATCTTTCTTCACCAACATTTTGTCTCTAGTATGGCTCACATTCGTTGGCATAGAAAAGCTTAACTTTAGCACTAATCTGATCTGACTAGTAAGTGATTCAAGAAGTTTCCCTCTGGATTAATATATGAAGTAGTTGGGGAGGACTGGCTTTTCCCAAAACTACCCCACATGGTTGCGATTTGCCGACTTGTGTTGGGTATGCGTGTGTGTGTGCATGTGCTCCAGTAGGTATGCAGGTATTTTTGTGGAGTCTGCAAGGACAAGGGAAAGAAAAAAAGTAGGGATGCAGTTCTGTCAGCCTCCGGGAGAGGACAGGTGAAAACAAACGACCCCACAGGGGCTTTGGCAAGATGAGGAGTGGAACACCTGTAGCAGTTTCCCGTAGCACAGGTCTCTAGTAGGAGGGTTGGCTGTGGGTATGCAGACACTCCATCAGGCCTTGGAGTGGACACTTGGGGCCTGTGTCAGAGGGAGAACCTCTCCGGGGCCAGGCCTGCCTTACTTGTACTTGGAATTGCGTGACTTTGGGGTGGGGGGAGTACAACTCCCAAAGCACTTTCGCTCGCTCTCTGCTCTCTCCAGCTCCCCCCACCCCGCCTTTGGGAGTTCTCCCATCCCCACTCCCCCCCGATGCCTGAGCTCTTGAAAAGCAAGACAAGTGTTTTACCACTAAGCCACCTCCCAGCCCACACACCAGTATTATTTGTATACTTGCTGTCACTTTGAAAACACCAGCATCCTTGATCTCTCTGTGCTGTTTCCTGGTTCAAACAGGGATAAGTAGGGGCCTGAAAGATAGTACAGTAGGGAAGGCTTGCACATGGCTGATCTTGGTTCAATTCCTGGCACCCCATATGGTTCTCTTAGCACAGCTGGATGTGACCCTAAAAGTCAAAAAAAAAAAGTATAGCCATTGTGCAGAAGTAATTCAGTGGGTTAAGTAGGAATGCATCATCACATATGTGAGTGTAGTGTAGAACCCAAAATACCTTCTTGGAAGCATGAGGGTAAAAGGAGTAGAGAAAGAAGTTATTTCTCCTTGGGGCCAGAGCGGTGGGTAGGGTGTTTACCTTGCATGCGGCCAACCCTGGTTTGATTTCCAGCATCCCATATAGTCCTCGAGCACTGCCAGGAATAATTCATGAGTGCAGAGCCAGGAATAACCCCTGAGCATCTCTTGAGTGTGGCTGCCCCTCCCCCAAAAAAGATGTTAATGTCTTCAGTTGGGGATCCAGAGTTACCCCAGGTCTTGCAGGACACACGGAAAGCCCTTGTGCATTGCAGCCGGCTGTCACACAGCTGTACTACTCCTTGTGAAAGGGCTCTACTGGTCTAGGGACACACTCAGAAGATTAGAATACAGGCTTTGCATTTGGGAACTGCAGGTTCAATCCCTAGCACCACATGGTCCCCTGTGTACTGCTGGGTGTGGCCCCTCCAAATAATACAATAATAAAAGGAGCCAACTGGTATTTAGGTTACTCAACTGGGGGCTCCTTGGCCCAGCAGGGGAGAGTGACTTGGTAGTGTCACTCGTGGGAAAGATCAAGGGCATTGTCACGTTTCCTCTGCCGTGCCTTTGTGTGAAGAGTGGCTGGCTGAGGAACCTCTGATCTCACACTTGCCTTTTCCCTGGTCAGGTACACCAATGGGGAGTGTGCTACCCACAGTTTGGTTTAGTGAGAGGAGACCCCACAGAGACACCCTGCTTTGCCCTGCAGGACGTAGGTTGTAAGTGGCAAAGGAAATGGAATCAGTCTGCCCAGGTCTTTTAAAACTCATATGGATTAAATGCTGTGTGAAGTACCAGGTGATATCTGCACCTTGGCCTTGTGCACAGTGCTCTTTGGGCATTTGCTTTTGACATCCTTGCTCCTTTGGAACAGCTGTTTGTCCCCAATTATGGGGACATGCGCTAAGCCATCCCTACCCTTAGGAGTCTTGCACTGAGGTGGGGAGGCACAACCATGCTGTGGGAAACACAGAGGAGAGTTTGGGTTTAGCATAGATGCCGCTCGCCCCCGCCATCAGTTGTGAGGGACTCCTTGGTAGCGGAGGGGTTGTGAGGAAGAAGCAGAGTTGCAGTATGTCCTGTGTGGCTGGGCCAGAGAAAGAAGTGGGCTCAAGTGTTTCCCTTGCCACCTGTTGGACCTTGGTTTGATCCCCAGCATCACATACGGTCCCCTGTGCACCATCAGGTGTAACTGGCAGGCTCTGCACTTGTTCAGAACAGCAGCCTCTCAGAATCGCAACAGCTTGGCGTCCAGTCAAGCCTCTGTCATAGTTTCAGATGAGTGACGTTCAACTACTAACTTAAATTCCTGAAGGCCCACTCAAATTCACATCTACACAGGGGTGTTAGAGTGCAGTGAGGCCATGACTCCTGTGTTACTCAGGTTTCCCATGCTCTTCCCCTTAGTGTGGTGATTACTGATTCTGCAACTGTGTAGTGAAAGTTTTGGGATTACCTCAGTTGCTCCTTTGTTCCGTACTTGAGTATTAATGCTGATCATGTACTGGCTTTGGTTTTCTGCTTGTGATGCTTTGTTGGATAATACGTGTTATTTTTACTTCTCTAGTTATTCTTCAAGTTTCAAGTTCCAGGGCTTTAGATTTGCGATTAAAACTATTCGGGGGTTGGAGCAATAGTACAGCGGGTAGGGCATTTGCCTTGCACGCGGCTGACCCGTGTTCAATTCCCAGCATCCCACATGGTCCCTCAAGCACTGCGAGGAGTCATTCCCGAACACAGAGCCAGGAGTAACCCCTGAGCGTTGCTCGGTGTGACCCAAAAAGCAAAAAAAAAACCCCTATATTTAGAGGGCTGGAGTGATAGTACGGTGTGTAGGGCACTTGCCTTACACATGGCCTGGTCTGGGTTGCATCACCAGCATCCCATAAAGTCCCCTGAACTCCACAAGGAGTGATTCCTGCCTGAGTGCAGAGTTAGGAGTAAACCCTGAGTTCTGGGATATGTGTGACATCCACCGCCCCTCCCCCCAGAGAGAGAAAGAGTGTGTGAGTTTTGTGGTGGTAAAAACCAAAGCCAGAAGTAAAGCCTGAGCACTACTGGTTCTGCCCCAGGCCCTTCCCCTTCCAAAAAAAAATAAATTCTGAAAGGAGGAGACTAACCCAGGACAGCGAATGAGTGCTTCCCTCTGCTCCTCCCAGTCCCGCGCCGATGGCAGGCAGGACTGAAGGAGCCCTCCTTGGTGGCCAGCTTTCCCCGGGGCTTCGGAATCATGAAACGCTGTTGCCCGCAGTCACTCTCTGACTTGGCATGAAGAAACCCAATGGGTGAGCTAGGATGGGCCACACAGTAGTGCCCAGGGTCTGTTCCTGACTTAGTGCCTAGGGCACCATGGGGTGCTGGGGATGGAGCTTAGGTTTCCCACATGCAAAGCATGCCCCCACCCCTTCAGTGCTTGGTGCTATCTCCTTGGCCCAGGAGCTCACATCTAAGTCGTCCTTCGGCCAGCTGATAAGAAGGAGGCCTCAGAAGGGAAATGAGTCATCCAGCTCTCATAGCAAGTTAGTGTTAGTCTTGGGTCTAAAACCCGACTTTTCTCTAGAGTCTAGTTCTCTCAGACTCCCAGACTAGATCATCCACCATAACCTCATCTGGCCTTTCTCTTTGTAGCAGTCTGCAAGTCTTCTTATGGGTTATCCCGGGTTTGTTTGGTGTTTAGTTTTTGAGTCGGGTCACACTTGCTAGTACTCAGGGATCACTCCTGACCTGGGGCAAGGACCTTAGGGTGCTGGGATCGAACCCAGGTTGGCCATATACAAGGCAAGCGCCTAACCCACTGGACTACTGCTCTGGCCTCTATCCTGATCTGTTGTAAATTTTTCTTTTTGAGTGCTCTGAGCAAACCCTTGTCTCTCTTTTTTTTTTTTTTTTTTTGCTGTTTTTGCTTTTTGGGTCACACCCAGTGATGCACAGGGGTCACTCCTGGCTTATGCACTC